CCCTAAAACCCTAAACCATAAAAAAAAAAAAAAAAACTAAAACCCTAAAGCCTGAAACCCCAAAGCCTGGACCTCCAAGCCCCCTAAAGCCGAAAAACCTAAACCCGAAGCCCCAGACCCCGACGCCCCCGCCCCAAAAGCTTAGGGTTTAGGGTTCAGGGGTTTAGGGGTTTAGGGTTTAGGGTTCTAGGATTCTCGGGTTTGGCTTTAGGGGTTTAGGGGTTTAGGGTTTAGGGTTTAGGGTTTAGGGTTTAGGGGTTTAGGGTTTAGGGTTTAGGGGTTTAGGGTTTAGGGTTTGAAACCCTCAAAGCCCCCAGGCCTCTAGGAGATCGTAACCTGCAGGCTGTGGAGACTTTCGGGGGTTTAGGGGTTGGTTCAGGGTTTAGGGTTTAGGTTTAGGGTTTAGGGTTTAGGGATTTAGGGTTTAGGGTTTAGGGTTTAGGGTTGGTCTAGGGGTTTACGGTTTTTGTATAATCAGGTTCCTACATTAGGGTTTAGGGGACATGTAGGGGCCTTGATAGTTGGTTTAGGGTTTCGGGTTGAGGGCTTTGGGTTTCGGGTTTAGGGTTTAGGGTTTAGGGTTTAGGGTTTAGGGTTTAGGGTTTAGGGCCTAGGGTTTCGGGTTGGGGGCTTTGGGTTTCGAGGGTTTCTGAAAGTGTAACCCAGGGAGCCATGAAGGAGTTGCCGAGTTCACGAGGCTGCACGAAAGCTCGGATTGTCGACCTAGGCCAACTTTACAAAGTACGGCTAGGGTTTAGGGTTTAGGGGTTTAGGGGTTTAGGGTTTAGTGGTTAGGATTGGGAGACCTCAGGAAAAAACCGCTAAACATTCGTGCCCCCATGCCGATCACCCCAAACCCTCAACCCTAATCACGATAACACGGGCCGCCCTGCCTGTGCATGGCACGTCGATGGCAAGGAAGAACAAGCAAAGATAACCTCTGATGGGGTTTAGGGTTTAGGGTTTAGGGTTAAGGTTTTAGGGTTTAGGGTTTAGGGGTTTAGGGTTTAGGGGTTTAGGGTTTAGAGTTTAGGGTTTAGGGTTCAGAGTTCACGGTCTAAGCTTGTTTAGAGTCCCGTAGGGATGATAAGCGTCGATGTAGGATGGTGTAGGGCTTCGGGTTTTGCTGTTGAGTTCAGGGCCTTGGTGCCGGAAACCCTCATCGGCGGTATTCTGGTGCCTCATGTCGTCGCTCTCCTCGGTTTAGGGTTTAGGGTTTTTTTGGGGTTTAGGGTGTAGGACTGAGGGTCAGACCCCCAAAATAACGACGCCCTACCCCTAAGGTTAGAAGTATGGGGGCCCCTAATATGGACCCTTAGGCCTTTCAAGGGGCTCTTAAGGGTACAATAGAGTATATAGTTCAACCTTAGACTATCGACCCGCAAGCCTCCACCCTAAAAACCCCCGGAACCTAAACTCCAAACCCTATGCCCTCATCCAACCCTAAACAGTAAGCTTGAACCCCACTCCCTATACAGGTCCATGTATCTATATAGTATCTACTTAGGCCGCGACTTAGGCCTCAAATAACCTGTACAGGATACCTTTGCGGCCTAAATATATACACTGTATAGGTACATGGACCCTCAAACCCTAAGCCCCATAGAAATCTTATAGAACCCATAAAGCAACCCTCAAAGAACCCTTTTGGGGGTACATGGAGCCTGCAAACCCTCTGCTAAACCCCTAAACCCTAAACCCCAACTCCTAAACCCTCAACCCTAAACCCCAAACCCCTACACCATGAACCCCAAACTAAACCCCAAACCCCCGAAGCCCAAGCCTCAAATCCTAAACCCAGGCCCTAAACCCATTAACTAAGGGATAGTAGGAGGGACCCCTAGAAGGGACCCCTAATCCAAATACCCTACATAACCCTTATATACCCCTTATATAGTCTCATAAAGACCCTATATAACCCCAAGGGTCCCTTTAAGGGTCCCTCCTCTGCGGACAAAGGCTCCAAGAGCAGATCCCAAGACCACCGCCGTGGCGTTGGCTCCCAGAGCCTTGCGCTTCAGACGTTGGCCTTAAGAGTTCAACTTAAGCTTTGTAGGGTTTGGGGTTTAGGGTTTACATTCTAGCCCTAGGGCTCCAAGTATACAAATAGTACCTACTTTCGGGTCTAAAGTGTGTAAATAGTACCTACATTGGGCTATTTGTAGCCCCAGGGTAGATGTTTTATAGGGTTTAGGGCTTTAAGGTTTAGGGTTTAAGCTCTAGGGTTTATGTAGGGTTTAGGGTTTAGGACTTAGGGTTTGGATGGGCTTGGGGTTTAGGACTTTGGGTTTCGTTAGGGTTAAACCCCAAAACCCTAAACCCTAAACCCTAAACCCTAAACCCTAAACCCTAAACCCTAAACCCCAAACCCCTAAACCCCAAACCGTGCGGCCCAGATGCAGCGGAGACGGCAGGTTGGTCCATAA